ATGAAATTGAATTTTTTTTTAAAATACCCCCATTATTTAAGCATTATCTAATCCAAATACCATACTTTGCAACATATACATTCCGATTTGGTTTGGTTAAAAATTATATATATATATTTTTTTAAATTTTGATAAAAATTGATGAAATATTTAATTAAACATTTGATAAAATTGTGAGTCTAATAAATCGTGTGCTTAAAAATGAATTTGAAAAATAATGAATTCTAAAAAATCGAGGCCTGATAGAACATATTAATGACTTTTTCTTTTTGCGACATCACATGGTTGTCAGCGAATTGTTCGATAGGAATATTGGTCTTGTTAAAGTTTTCTACACAAGTTCAAATTGATCAATTCAGTTCAAGTTCGTTCAACTCTTTACTATTTCAATACATATGTATAGTAATTTCTACATGAGGAAATTACTTGAAATGTCCATTTTTACATGTCCATTTGTCATCGATATCTCTAGTAGATAATAAAAAGACAGTTGATTTTCTTCATAAGATTTAAAATTTATTTATTTTTAAATTGAATCTATGAGTCCAATTCAAATCACACTTACACTAAATTATAAATCCACGAGTTGTAATATCAATCTTGTTCCTTTTGAGCTTTTTATTTATTATTATTATTATTTTTTTGGAGATTACATTTTGTAAAAAATACTTCTTTTTTAAAAAAGATTTATGTGTAAAATTATTTTATCGAGAGACATATAATTAAAATAAAGGAAAAGTTGAGTTTTAAATAATATAATTCCTTTTAAGTTGCGATTTAACACAGCAGCACATCATTAAATACACCGATCACAAACAAAATTATGTTGTTAAATCAACGATCTTTATTAATTATACTTTTAGTAGATAGTAAAAAGTCAATTGATTTTCTTCATAAGCTCTAAACAATTTTTATTTTAAAATTGAATCAACGTGTCCAATTCAAATTACACTTACACTAAGCCCTGATTGAATCCCATTATTTGAAAAAAATACATTATTAAATAGTATTTTGACATTATTTTAACCATACATTTTTAAAATATTATACGCAAATTCAAAACTTTTCCTTATTTTTTAACCACATATTTTCCATCACTACACTATTTAAAAATTCATTCTTACGAAAAGAATAGAACTCAAAAAAGGGTTTAAAATCCACGAGTTTGTGATATCGATTATGTTTCTTTTGAGCTTTTTTTTGGTGGGGGGGGGGGGGGGGGGGGATTACATTTTGTAAAAACTACTTTCCGTTTTTCAAAATTTATTTGTAAAATTATTTTATTGAGAGGCATATAATTAAAATAAAGGAAAAGATGAGTATTAATTAATATAATTCCTTTTAAGTTGTGATTTAACATGGCAGCCAGTGTTCTGGCGCCGTCTAGGCATGATGCGCGACAGAAACGTTAAGTTAAGTGGTTTAACACCTTATTTAGTGATAAGCGGCAATCATTGACCACTAATGCAGTCTTAGGCGTTATTATTATCTTCCTTTTTTTTTTTTTTGAAATTTTTACAATTCTTTTAAGTTAAAACTTTGAAGGCTAATTTCTTCACTTCGTCTGCCTTAGATTTCAAACAGCCGCTTGAAACTTTGAACAAAGGAAAACTTCAAAAAATTCCCATCTATTTAGTATTTTTTATTTATTTGAAACTTATACTTTTGTTGGAAACTTAAAAAAAAAAAGTATAAAATTCCTATAAATAGGTATTATTTTTAATTATTAAATAATTTTTTGATTGATTAAAAATTAAAATAATATTAAAATAGAAAAACGTCTTTTTAGGTCTATACCTCGTCTAATCCATAGTTTGGCCTTCACACATCACGTCTTTTAGAACACTGATGACAACACATCATTAAACTAGCTGATCACAAAAGAATTGTGTTGTTAACATCAATGATCTTCGTTAATTATACTTTTATTAAATTATTTTATAAATGCATTCTTAGAAAAGATGATTAATTTGATTTAGCTCCCATTTGACCCCCATTTCGTGAATATGAAAATGAGTAGTCGAAAAAGAAGAAATTTTTTTTAATTTACATGTAATATTATTTTATAAAAGATTGAATGGTTGAAAATGGGAGAGAGAAAAATGAAATGTAATGAAATTTAAATTAATGCGGGGCCAAACGAGAGCTTATACATTGATAATTAGCACAAAAGTCCATACATTGTATTTTTTGACAATTTCACCCTTATTTCAATGTTTAATTGCAAAAAAGTCATTTTCATCATTTCAATGTAAAATGACCAAAATACCCTCCCATTTAAATAAAACAAAAAAAAAGAAAAGACAAATAAAGAATAAATTACAATCTTATTCCTAAATGTTTTAAAAAGTACAAGTGAGTCCAAATAATTATTAAAATATCTAATAGCACAAAACATTCCTAACAAGTGAGTCCAAAATGATAAAAATGATATTTTCTACAATAAAACGTTGAAATAAGGGTAAAAATGTCAAAAAATAAAAGATATGAAAGGTACGGACATTTGTGCTAATTACCCATTTATACATATACCTATAAATATCAGATCAGGGTGGATAGGATCAGTATACGCCTCTCTCTCTTATCACATCACCTGCAAATGTTACTACTAGTGTAGTGTAGCTGTGTGAGGTTGTTGTTTCTCTCTCTACATATATTATCTCTCGAGATTTTTATCTGTATCTGTGTATGTATTTCTTAATTTGCCTTGGGAATCACTATTGGCTCGGTAGACGATTTTCCCAGGAAAGAATCAGAGGCCCAAGTCATGTTTTTGTAATCTCTATAATGGGTTCGTTTCAGATTTCAATTTTTTCCCACTCTTTTTGTCTCCTTCTCGGCATAATATTGAGAAAGTACAAACAAGGCCTATAGAGATAAACACAGAGGAGGAGGGAGAGAGAGTGAGATAGAGATTGAGATTGAGAGTTTGTGTATGTTTTTTCTTTTAATTTCTTCTTGTATCTTTCTACCTATTATATTAAATGACTTTGTTTGCATGTGCAATGTGTTCTGCAGATTGTCCTTCTCTCTCTGTGACTTGTCATCATTTTCGCGCATCCTTTGCCAGATGGTGAATTGCCCTTATCACGATTCGATCTATGCCCCCTGATCATATCGTTGTTGGACTCCATTAACACCATAGCTATTATTATTCAGACTCTAGTCACTGATTTCCATCATTCTCTTTGTTCAAAGATTGATATCTGTAACAATTATTATGGGTATCAATCTTTTCTGGGCTGCTGAAACGACAACGTCTGAAGTCTTAAACCATCTACCAGAAGCCTTTCGAGGAGTGCCCATATTGGAAATAACCACAGTTTGCATACACTTGACACTGTTTCTTGGGTTCTTGTTACTTGTAAAAAAAAAAGGTATAAAATTCCTATAAATAGGTATTATTTTTAATTATTAACTAATTTTTTGATTGATTAAAAATTAAAATAATATTAAAATAGAAAAACGTCTTTTTAGGTCTATACCTCGTCTAATCCATAGTTTGGCCTTCACACATCACGTCTTTTAGAACACTGATGACGACACATCATTAAACTAGCTGATCACAAAAGAATTGTGTTGTTAACATCAATGATCTTCGTTAATTATACTTTTATTAAATTATTTTATAAATGCATTCTTAGAAAAGATGATTAATTTGATTTAGCTCCCATTTGACCCCCATTTCGTGAATATGAAAATGAGTAGTCGAAAGAGAAGAATTTTTTTTCAATTTACATGTAATATTATTTTATAAAAGATTGAATGGTTGAAAATGGGAGAGAGAAAAATGAAATATAATGGAATTTAAATTAATGCGGGGCCAAACGAGAGCTTATACATTGATAATTAGCACAAAAAGTCCATACATTGTATTTTTTGACAATTTCACCCTTATTTCAATGTTTAATTGCAAAAAAGTCATTTTCACCATTTCAATGTAAAATGATCAAAATACCCTCCCATTTAAATAAAACAAAAAAAAGAAAAGAAAAATAAAGAATAAATTACAATCTTACTCCTAAATGATTTAAAAAGTACAAGTGAGTCCAAATAATTATTAAAATGCCTAATAGCACAAAACATTCCTAACAAGTGAGTCCTAAATGATAAAAATGACGTTTTCTATAATGAAACGTTGAAATAAGGGTGAAAATGTCAAAAAATGAAAGATATGAAAGGTACGGACATTTGTGCTAATTACCCATTTATACATATACCTATAAATATCAGATCAGGGTGGATAGGATCAGTATACGCCTCTCTCTCTCATCACATCACCTGCAAATGTTACTACTAGTGTAGTGTAGCTGTGTGAGGTTGTTGTTTCTCTCTCTACATATATTATCTCTCGAGATTTTTATCTGTATCTGTGTATGTATTTCTGAATTTGCCTTGGGAATCACTATTGGCTCGGTAGACGATTTTCCCAGGAAAGAATCAGAGGCCCAAGTCATGTTTTTGTAATCTCTATAATGGGTTCGTTTCAGATTTCAATTTTTTCCCACTCTTTTTGTCTCCTTCTCGGCATAATATTGAGAAAGTACAAACAAGGCCTATAGAGATAAACACAGAGGAGGAGGGAGAGAGAGTGAGATAGAGATTGAGATTGAGAGTTTGTGTATGTTTTTTCTTTTAATTTCTTCTTGTATCTTTCTACCTATTATATTAAATGACTTTGTTTGCATGTGCAATGTGTTCTGCAGATTGTCCTCCTCTCTCTGTGACTTGTCATCATTTTCGCGCATCCTTTGCCAGATGGTGAATTGCCCTTATCACGATTCGATCTATGCCCCCTGATCATATCGTTGTTGGACTCCATTAACACCATAGCTATTATTATTCAGACTCTAGTCACTGATTTCCATCATTCTCTTTGTTCAAAGATTGATATCTGTAACAATTATTATGGGTATCAATCTTTTCTGGGCTGCTGAAACGACAACGTCTGAAGTCTTAAACCATCTACCAGAAGCCTTTCGAGGAGTGCCCATATGGGAGGAAAGATACAGAGCTTTGCTCGAAGATATGCGAAGTGTGGAATTCAAGTATCTCCGAAAAGCTCTTTACTCACAGGCTTTCATCACATTTATTTTCTGGAGCTCCCCTATATTTGTTTCAGCTGTCACGTTCGGCACTTGCATTTTGTTAGGCGGTCAGCTTACCGCAGGAAGCGTTCTTTCTGCTCTGGCTACTTTTCGGATCCTGCAAGAACCACTTAGAAATTTCCCTGATCTGGTTTCAATGATGGCTCAGACCAAAGTCTCCCTTGATCGAATTTCTGGATTCCTGCAGGAGGAAGAGCTGCCGGAAGATGCAACCATTGTTTTGCCACGAGGCATTACAGATGTGGCCATAGAAATCAAAGATGGTGAGTTCTCTTGGGATCCATCTTCGCCAACCCCAACCCTGTCAGGAATTCAAATTAGGTTGGAGAAGGGTATGCGTGTGGCTGTCTGTGGTGTGGTTGGTTCTGGAAAATCCAGTTTCCTTTCCTGCATCCTCGGTGAGATTCCGAAAGTCTCCGGCGAAGTAAGTCTGAGTTTATAACACTAAAATTCTTTCTTGTCACCTTTTTTTTTTAATTTTCTATGAAACATACCTGCTCTGGGAATTTGGTTGGTTGAGTCTTATGCTTGATATATGGGTGTTCTCTTTAGGTTAAAATTTGCGGTTCTGCAGCCTATGTCTCTCAGTCAGCTTGGATACAATCAGGAAATATTGAGGAAAATATTCTCTTTGGGTATCCGATGGATAAGGCAAAATACAAGAGCGTTCTTCATGCCTGTTCACTGAAGAAAGATTTGGAGCTTTTCTCGCATGGCGATCAGACCATTATTGGTGATAGAGGCATCAACCTTAGTGGTGGTCAGAAGCAACGAGTGCAACTTGCTCGAGCACTATATCAAAATGCAGACGTCTATTTACTTGATGATCCATTCAGTGCTGTTGATGCTCACACTGGTTCAGAATTATTTAAGGTTTGGACATTGGTTTGAATAATTTCTTTTTGCTGCTCAAATAAAGAGTATCGGGCTGAAAATATCATTGTGCAACTGCAGGAATACATACTGACAGCGCTAGCGACAAAGACTGTGGTATTCGTAACACATCAAGTTGAATTTTTGCCTGCTGCTGATTTGATTTTGGTATTTTTTTCACACCAAATTCCCTCTGTTTCTTATGTTGTGTCTAAATTTCCCACCAGACTTCCTTCTAGGTTTCTACCCTTAGTCTTGGACCTTCTGGTAAACATTTAGCGAGTCTCACTTATTAAGAGTACTTGAGTCGTTTTGTTTCCTTCCACAAATGTTAGATGCATGAAAGTAGAATGCAGTTATCTAGGCACTGAGAGTATGATCCCCCATTTTTATTTTTGTGAAGTTTCTGGATAATTACATCACAGAAGGGAAAGATTGAAATCCCTGACAAAAATGATTTTTTTTTTTGTCAACTTTGAAGAATATGTATTAATGTCATGTCAAATTGATACTTCTTTAGTTGTAACAGAACTCCTAAAGATTCAATCTGATTTGTTAATATCTGATTCTTGTTCTGAGCAGTTAAATCCTTGCCCCAACCCCCTAGGCATCCAGGCCTCAGAGCATGGCCCACCATCTCATCTACCCTCCTGTGAGCTTTGCACTGTTCTTTTCCCTCTACCTTCTTTCAAGCTCATTTTTTGACTTCACAGGTGTCATTGTCCTCTACAGATTTAATCTCTCTCTCAGATTACAAACACTTTTTCAGAACGGGTAATTGGCACAAAACGTCCTTACCTTTCAAGTCTATTGTGGAAAACGTCACTACCTTGCATTTTTTGGCATTTTTGCCCTCATTTCAACCTTTCTTTGCGCTGGACGTCCTTCCGTCCATATTCCTTTAGTTTTTCCGTTAATTAAAGGGTAATTGGCACAAAAAAAGAATGAGAATGGGGACAAACGGGGGCTAATTATGATTTCTGTCTAATTTTCAGCATCTTGTAGGTTTTGAAGGAAGGCCGTATTATTCAGGCTGGGAAATATGATGAGCTTTTGCAAGCTGGAACAGATTTTAACACATTGGTCTGTGCTCATCATGAAGCCATTGAAGCTATGGATATTTCCAACCAAGCTTCTGAAGAATCAGATGAAAATAATCCTCTTGTTAGGTCTAGTCTCATGAGTAAAAAGTGTGATCTAGTTGCTACTAATATGGATGGCATGGCAAAGGAAGTCGAAGAAGGTGCATCAGCGTCAGTTAAGAAAGCAATTAAGGAGAAAAAGAAGGCCAAACGTTCTAGGAGAAAACAACTTGTGCAGGAAGAGGAACGGGAACGTGGAAGAGTCAGCATGAAAGTGTATTTATCATACATGGCAGCTGCATATAAAGGGATGTTGATTCCACTTATTATTATTGCACAAGCACTATTTCAGGTCCTTCAAATAGCTAGTAATTGGTGGATGGCTTGGGCAAATCCGCAAACCGCAGGGGACAAACCAAAAACCAGTAGTGTGGTGCTTATTGGTGTGTATATGGCACTTGCTTTTGGGAGCTCCTGGTTCATATTTGTTAGGGCTGTCCTAGTTGCTACATTTGGTCTTGCAGCAGCACAGAAGTTTTTCTTGAAAATGCTCAGAACAGTCTTTCGGGCACCAATGTCTTTCTTTGACTCTACCCCAGCTGGACGAATATTAAATCGTGTATGCTCATGCTATCCCTTTGATAATTGCGCTTTATGCTTTTGGCACTTACGGTTTGATATTTTCATCATTTTTTGGTTTTCTTCTCTTTCATTTTCATACTCCCTAGTTCTACTTCACCATTTGAGGATTTCTTACTATCTACAGGTGTCGATTGATCAAAGTGTTGTTGATCTTGATATTCCATTCAGACTTGGTGGCTTTGCTTCAACAACAATCCAGCTTCTTGGTATTGTTGGTGTAATGACAAAAGTTACCTGGCAAATTTTGCTACTCGTTGTTCCAATGGCAATTGCCTGCCTATGGATGCAGGTAGCAATAGTATAATGCTATAGTTTCAATTCTGTACCTTCGTCAATTTGTTATTTGACGGTCTGAAGTGTGAGCGAATGCAGCGCTTTCAAGCTGTTAGCTATGATCTTGTGTGCATAGTTAGCCTTTTGTTTATTGGAAAATATCATCATTTAACCTGAGCTCGAGTATCACCTGATTCATCTCGTCATTTGCATCTCTTTACCTGGATTTATGGTGATCAAGTATTTTTACAAAATTTTTAAATTTTGATCAAGTGAATATCATTTTGATCCGTACAAATGCAGAAATACTATATGGCTTCGTCAAGGGAACTGGTTCGCATTGTTAGCATCCAAAAATCTCCAATAATTCATCTTTTTGCCGAGTCAATTGCTGGAGCAGCTACAATAAGAGGGTTTGGCCAAGAAAAGAGATTCATGAAGAGGAATATCTATCTTCTTGATTGCTTTGCTCGGCCTTTCTTCTGCAGTCTTGCAGCTATTGAATGGCTCTGCCTGCGAATGGAACTGGTCTCAACATTTGTATTTGCTTTCTGCATGGTTTTACTTGTGAGCTTCCCACATGGAAGTATAGATCCAAGTATGTACATTGCTATTCGCCATTAATGTCAAATGCACATGCGTTAAAGATTCTTGCCGAGACCGAGTTGATAATTATATTGACGCATTACAATTCTGAGATAAAATTTACTGGTATTCCAATTTCCAGCTGTGATTTTAATACTGTTATGGAAATATTTCGTCAATATAATGATGGAAACAATACGTTAGTGAAGATATAGAGCAAAAGGTCAACCATTTGCAATCATTGACAAGTCTTTATTATATTTCTAATTATAATCAAACGTTTTTTGTCTATAGGTATGGCAGGACTTGCTGTGACATATGGTCTTAATATGAATGCACGTCTATCACGATGGATACTTAGCTTTTGCAAGCTTGAGAACAAAATTATCTCCATAGAAAGGATTCATCAATACTGCCATATACCTAGTGAAGCTCCAGCAGTTATTGACGATTTTCGTCCCCCATCCTCTTGGCCTGAAAATGGAACAATTAAAATAATCGATTTAAAGGTATGGAATTATCTTTCTTACGTTCTTTTCACTAGTTGGGAAAACTTTCCCTATATTCCATCCATTTATAAGAAGCGAACTGCTTCTTATTCCGATCTAGATATATATGTTGACATGTGAAGCGGCATGTATTTACATTAATTGGGTCCATTGTCAAAATATCCTTGTAGTTTGCATTGAATGCCTTATCTTATCTAATGATCAGAGATTGAAGTTACCATTTTTCCAAAAAAAGGAAATATATAAAGGACAAAGAAGAAAGAAGAAAGAAAGAAAAAAAATAAACGGAACTTTGGGGACATCACAGGACAAGGAAATACATATGACCTAAAGCTATGTTCAAGAGACACGACTTAAGAAACAATGTCATAAGCCCAATGTTTTGAAAGGCGTGAGGTCAAGCCCTATGAGCTTATGCATGATAAAACGGTGTTTCTTATTTTTTAATATTATTTTAATTATTGTATGGCTATAATATAAATAAAATAATGTATACCAAACAAATTTAATCATAAATAATATAATTACTTAATAATACCTACAATTAAACAATTTCCAAATTTTCAAAAACTAGACAATTGAAAATTGAAAGCACAAGACCTTCTTGAAGTAAATGGTCCAAGAAATCGTTCATACTAATTTATTGCCTCTGCCTAACATTAGCAATTAGGTCCAAGAAATGGCTTCGAAAAATTGAAAAAAAGTTTGGGGAAAAAAAAAAACTAAAAAAAAAATTTAAAAGAAAAAGTGCACGTCTTTTGGTGCCTAGGCACGCCTAGTCCTGCATTAGGAGGTCAAAAGAGGAGTTGCCTGCCTTTTTCTATGCCATGCCTTTGTGCGGGGCATTTTGAAAACGCCTCATGCCTAGGCAACGCCTTTTAGAACATTGCATAAATGTATGCTGACAAGTTATGGCTCTAAAAAAGATGCCATAGAGCTCCATTTAGCCATAAATTCTTGTATGCCTGGTGGTGATTTTTCGTGGTCTGGTTTTTTATTCAGATTGAATATCCCTGGTTTGCATTCTAGTTGACCACTGCATTACATGTATCTGGAAACGTAGTTGTTAACTTTGAAGATGTTCATGTAGGGATTGCACAAACACAAGGGAATCTCCCTGGTTGGTTAAGACTATGGCCATACAAATGATGGCTGAACTGAGGTTTAGTCTTACTGAACTAATTTGTGACTCAGCTAACATCCAACACCATTGCCCCCCACCCACATTAGGAATGGCAAAAAACCCGACCAACCTTTTCCCATGGAGCCCGGAGCAGGGTTTCCCTGCTTGATCTGGTTGGCAGGGTGAGACGAAGAAATTTGCTCTGGATGGGGATGGGAACATTGTCCCTGTCGTTTATTATATTATTTATTATATGTTTCTAATCTCTCTCTCACCTGTCACCGTTAAGGCATGCCAACATCATCTGACGAGGAGAATGTGATCCTCTTTTGACTTCCTTTCCTCTTTTCACTCACCTCTGGCCACCTCTCTTACTAGCCCTCAGCCTCTCTGGAGGACAAAATTATTGGACCTTGAATCTTCACTCCACCTCTTCCCATTGGCTTCTTTCTTTTCCTCCTCCAATTTAAAGTTGGCTTCCTCCAGTTCAATTACATTAGTGGCTATGTTTTGGTTTTTAATAAACTTAGCTTTTGGATGAGATTTTTTGAACCCTGTGTTGTCGTGCTGCACTAACAAGTAATTTATAAACAAAAAAATGTATTTCATAGTGTATTTATGTTCTCTAGTCTAGTTAGGTTCCCATGATCGGTGCCTTTTGCGAGTTTTTCAATTTAGATGGGAATTATAGTTTTTAAAAATTTAGATGGGAATTACAGTTATGTTAATATAATAAACAGGGAATGGAAATTCCCAGCCCGGCCACCTGTGCCATCTTAAGCAGGGATTGGGACGGGGCTAGTGCATGAATATCTCAACAGGTCGGGCAACGGAGAGTGCTGCCCTGGCCTGTCCGTTGCCATCCCTACCCCCCACTCAATGACACAAAAGGGAAAAATGTGAAGTGAAAAGACAGTAATGCCTACTGCCCATCTAACATGTCAACTGGTGTGGGAGGGGGCACAAACAATGGCATAAGAAAATAAAGAAATCTTATCACTGTTTTTCCAATTGTTGGTTCGTTACAAGGAAAGCCTTCCTGTTGTGCTCCATGGTGTATCCGCCTCTTTCCTTGGGGATTAAGAAACAAGGAAATCTTATCAATATTTTTCCCTTTGTAGGTTCGTTACAAGGAAAGCCTTCCTGTTGTGCTTCACGGCGTGTCCTGCACTTTCCCTGGTGGGAAGAAAATTGGAATTGTTGGACGTACTGGTAGTGGTAAATCCACTTTGATTCAGGCCCTGTTTCGATTGATTGAACCAGCAGATGGCAGAATAATTATAGACAACATTGATATCTCAATGGTGGGCCTTCATGACCTTCGCAGCCGGTTGAGTATCATACCCCAAGATCCAACATTGTTTGAAGGAACGATTAGAGGAAACTTAGACCCACTCGAAGAGCATTCAGATCAAGAAATTTGGCAGGTTCAGCCGCTTTGCCTCTTTCTTTCCATATCGATTTGGATTACTAGAGATTTCAATGAAGTTCAATTCTTAATTGATAGCCAATGCCCATGCTTTTCTTTGTTGTCCATTCATAGTTGTCGTATTTGGATGATGAACGATCATTTGAATACTTATATTTGTCACTCTTCATATCCGTTTCTAACATTACTTGCTGTTAATGAATTTTCCCAGGCACTCGATAAGTCTCAGCTGGGTGAGATGGTTCGCCAAAAAGAGCAAAAGCTTGATACACCTGGTAAGTATGTTACACCAATGGACTAAAATCTTGCTTTTTCGTGGCAAGGAAGCCATCTTCACAATATTTTGAGGACTAATAGGGATTTCCTCAATTGTATGTGATGTTGGCAGTGCTTGAAAATGGAGATAATTGGAGTGTGGGACAGCGACAGCTAGTATCTCTTGGTCGGGCTTTACTTAAGCGGGCAAGAATTTTGGTGCTTGATGAAGCTACAGCCTCAGTTGATTCGGCCACAGATAACCTTATCCTAAAGATTATTAGGACAGAATTTAAGGATTGCACTGTTTGTACGATTGCTCATCGAATTCCTACTGTTATTGATAGCGATCTGGTTCTGGTCCTTAGTGACGGTGAGTTCTGTACCTTTTCGAATTCTTCTCTATATTTTTAGGCCCTGCTTGACAAAGCTTTTTCGAGAATATAAGTCAATACAAACTTCATTTTTAATTACACATTTCATTGGATTCACAACTTTTATCAACTTTGAACCACGCATTTCATGGAACCCACTAACTTTTAATCTCAAAAAGTTTTGTTGAACCGGGGTAAAATATTTGGATGGAATAGACTCTATTATGGTTTATATTGTGCAGTTATTTGCTTGGTTATGCTCTTGAATGCTTTTCTTTAGGATTATGTTTCTCCTTTCTTCCAGACTTTTGAGAGTTGTTCAAACTTGATATTAAAATGAAGTTAGTCTAACGTGCACGAAAAAAATGTTAACTTGCCTACATATGTTTTGCAGGTCGAGTTGCAGAGTTTGACACTCCGGCAAGATTATTGGATGACAAATCTTCCATGTTTCTTAAGCTAGTAACGGAATACTCCTCGAGGTCAAGTGGAATACCGGATTTCTGATTTAATGTCGTGCATGAAATCTGGTCGAGAAGGCTAAAAGTGCCCACAGGATGTTACCTGGAATGTCATAATCTGAAAGTCGCAGGTAGGAAATAGTTTAAGCTCAGGTCGATATAAGAAAATTCTTCCCCTTTTAGGCACAACGGGGAATTCACTCACTGCACAATTTGTACCATAGAATAAATTTTGGTAAGAGGTGGCAGAACAAATGAGGAGGCAATTGTATTTTACATGTGCAATAAAACAGTGTTTTTTGTTGTTTTGTTTTTTTTGGGCAGTGCAGAAGAAAATGTGTATGTTTTTAGAACATTAGGGAGTAATTGTAAGGTTTGTTCCCGGATGGTAGGTTTTGAATTTTGTTTTCCACTGTAGTTGTGGTTGTCTTTCCAAAATGTTGCTGATCTAGGTAAGAATTCATCTTGAAGATGTTGGATATTGGTTAAATAAATCGAGAATTGGAAATCGATTAAAGTGACTTCATATCGACTTCGGCCAAATACTCAAAAACTCGACTCAATCCGTTTAGGCAAAATTGTTTGCCACTTCGCCGCTTTGGGGCGCACAAACGGGGATCGACCTGCCCGGTCAGGTCGCGGGGGTTGAGGGGGCAGCGCCCCCGAAAGAGAATTTTGATTTCTCTGCATGTATTGAAGGGTATATTTGGCATTTCGAAAAAATCAATATCGAATGAATGAGAAATTACGAAAAAAGGACGAAAATCAGGTCAAAATTCAGGGTTTGGAAAGGGTGCATGGTTTGGCCTCAACGACCTCTTCATAAAGGTGCATTGTTTGGAAATGGTGTATGGTTTGACCTCAACCATTTCGTCCACACCCTTTCATGGTCTATAAATAGGACCCTTTGGATGTCCTATTCCTCACAATTTTGATATGCAAAAAACGTCTCTCATCCTCTCTTCTATCCAAAATCAAAATCATTTCATTTATTTTGATTTTCCTTCATCATTGGAGTACATAAGCCTAAATTTGGTTCGTTGTACTTGTGTTTTGAAGTGCTACAAACACAAGTGTAGCTGTTGTATCTTGGGAGTCGATTGCCGAAATCCGTAGGCACCGTTGCGGGGCAAATTCGACTGAAGGACAAAGAGTCCAACTTTTGCCTCGACTTTGTCCCTAACCATCATTATACTTATTTTGGCGTCACTATTCACAAAATTCTTCCAACAGAAGAAACTTGAATGGTGTCGTTTCATATATTTATTGATAAACATTTTTGATTGTCTTGTTTGGGAGATATTATTTGAATTGAAAAATGATCTTTTTTTAAAATGTGTGGATAAAAATTAAAGAAAAGTTATGAGTTCATGTAAGGATGACAATGGTTGAGTTGAGCCAACTTAGCCTGTAGACACTTTAGTTTGGCTTGATTGACACGAGCTCGAGCTCGTCTCGTGTTCGAATCTTATGTTGAACTCTACATATTAGTTCGTGGGCATCACAAATTGAGTTGCCCACTAGTCCAAATAATTCGAGTTGGCTCTTTTTTTATAAATAAATTAATAAGATAAACCTAAAATGGAGTAACTTTGTTAACAAAAAAGTAGAGACTATAGGAGTGAACGCAATTGAACCACTTGGTTTGAGAAAGAGGTTGACCTTGAGGTCGATGGAGGAAGCAACGAATCCCAAGCTAATCTTTTCCAAGAGCTCACATCGAAGGAAAGGTTTGGCACCTTGATGTCGGCTCTTCTCCACCTTGGGCTGTAGCGTGTTCCAAGTATTGCTTCTTTTTCGAGAGGATTTGTGGCATATCAAGTCTTAGTAAGGTTCTTTGTTTTGCATAAAATTAAATCTAAAAACACAAGTGAGGCATAAAAAATGAGTCAGCTGGTGAGCTCGTGCCTAGGAGCACAAATGAGCCGGCTCATGGGGCTCACCTCATGAAAGAAAATATAAGCTCATCTCAAAAGAAGCTCGAACCATCTATGAGTTGCGAAGAACCGAGCTCGGAGCCCTCAGTTCGTTTGCCACCCTCATCTGCTAATCAATTTTATTTGAAGAATGTTTAGTTGAAAATAAATTTGAGAAAAAGTAATTTTCAATTAAGTTTCATAGTAGAAAGTTAGAAAAGCTAATTATGCTACTAATATTTCATTTTCAGAACTTCGAGAAACAACTTACTACTAGCTACTTGCCTGCTTTCAACTGAAATCGCATTTTCCGACATAAAACGCGAGACCTTTATGAAGCAAACAAAACTGTAGTATACACGCACTTTACAAACAATTCTTTCCCTTGTCGTCCAGTCTTTTGAGTTTGCAGCACATTCCACATTTTCTCTGACTAAAACCCAGCTGGGAAAGAACGATGCAGGCCGTTTCGAGAAGATTAGGACACCAATACATCAAGCAATCGCCATCGATTTCTTCAATTTACCCTCTTTCTGATCGGTGTATGTGTTTTCTCAACATTTCTAGGGCTACACGTTTATAGCCATTTTTTAATTTCTGCCAATTCAGCTTCAATTAAACGATTTGTTTTTGTTAATGATGATGTGGAATTGAATTTCACGGGTTTTAGATTATGGAGGTGAGAGGTACCAATCTACACTTACCACCAAAGGGGTGGGGCATCTAGTCCGTAAGGGCACTGGTGGAAGATCGTCTGTTAGGTAATTTTCATCTTAGAAGCCATAAAATTTTGTGTTATCTACTGTAAATTAATTGTTTCAGTTTAATGGTACTGCATTGTTTTTTGCATTTCGATCATTAGGTTGAGTGTGTGTAGTTGTGATGTTTATTTTACCGGAACTCTAGTTAGAGTTCATTAATAATTGAATTGAGATTATTATTACTCATTTTTCAATTCCTCAATCGGAGCATTTTCATTTGGTTTTCAATTTTAAGAATATTGTTTTGGTATAAATGTGTTGTCATCTTATGCTATAAACTATTTGAAGAAATTAATTTCAGATAACATTCGATTCGAATGCTTTGAGTTGAAATTTGAATTTGTTTCTGGCAGTGGAATTGTTGCGACAGTGTTTGGTGCTACTGGATTTCTTGGGCGTTATCTTGTGCAACAGCTTGGTACATTACTAGTTAACTCCAAATGCTTTTCTGATTAAAAGCTTGTAAGCTATAGGACTAGTTTATCATAGAATTGACTGTTCTTTTGATATGATCCATATTTGGTATCTTGTTCTTCTTGCAGCTAAAATGGGTTCTCAAGTATTAGTTCCTTTCCGAGGGTCTGAGGATTCTCACCGTCACCTCAAGTTAATGGGTGATTTGGGTCAGGTAGATTCTTGTGTAGATTTTATGCTTTTCATTTAATTATTGATTTTGCTCAATTTGGAAGGCATGTGATTTGGGATTATTCATACATTCAACTTATTGCAGATTGTTCCAATGAAATATGACCCTAGAGATGAAAATTCTATCAAGGCAGTGATGGCAAAGGCTAATGTTGTTATTAATCTTATTGGTACATGTTCCTCAATACCTTTTGACACTAGGTAAAATGTTGTGTTGAGATTGCATTACTAATAAACTGTCCTGCGAACAGGAAGGGAATACGAGACCAGAAATTATAGCTTTGAGGAAGTCAATCATCACATGGCTGAACAGCTTGCAATGGTATGTTCCTGCACTTATCCTATAAAAAAGTTCGTGATTAGTTTCAACTTTCCGGACATTATATTTTACTGGTGGACATACTTTTGCAATGTTGACTATTTTAAGTAAATTGAGAAGTGAGAAACAGAGGGAATCCTAAGAAGGTAGAGAGTTTTATGGCACAGATCATTAACTGATGTTCATTTTCTTAGTGTCTAGTGATTCTCCTCTTTCTTATTTTCTTGGTTATGAGTTCATATTTTCTTAAATGATATTGCTCCTTCCTTTCATTCTCAGGTATCTTAGTGTTATCTATTACTTTTCTTCTCTTTGTCAAAGTGGTCTTTATGTGTTATTTTACTGTTCTACTCACTTTGGCATGGCGTGGAATATTTACCTGTCAAATTTCAGTCTTAGGAATACAGTTGTAGGAATAAACGGCTCAATATGAGGATTTGAGGAAACTTCATCACTAAAAGACGACTAACCATTCTCTCAGCAATTAAAAAAGAAAAGGTTTTGGCAGCAATAGGAAGTGAAGGGCTTCTGAAGAATGTGGCCAATTAAGATGGAGAGAAGAAAAGGATGGGTGGGGGTCATCAGTAATAAACTACAAGAGAGTGAACCCATTGAGGAGATGTGCTCCTTGAGAAAGGCAGATGCCTGGAGGGACACTGGACTCTGGAGAACTTTTTATTTAATATTTTTAAAATTTAAGTCTAGGTGAAATTCCGTCAACTTTTTTACTGGTGATTATGCATTTTTTGTAAATATGTTTATGCTTAGCTTGATTGGTCGCCTAGGTAACATTGTATTTCTTAGTTTTGTAAAAAATGATCATATCAACAAGTGATATTTCCTCCTCCCATTGTGTACGTGTGTGTGAGGCACTTATCCTTGGTCTTGTGCATCAAAATTTAAAGTGGCACGGAAAACTTTTTTAGACTTGTGATTGTCAATGCTGTTCAATATCTCTTTGGAGCAGTTCAATTAATAACTACTCTTTTATAGGACTATAAGCCTGTAAATAGGAGCTCAGTTGGGAACCTTCTTTCAGTGGGGCGTCCACCTTTTTGATTCTAGTGTACCTTTCCATGTCTGGAATAGAAGACAATTTTCTGTAACTTTGAGGGGAGAGGGGAAGTGACATTTATACCCTAGTTTTTTTGCTGCTCAACTGAGGGAGGGAACCTTTATCTCTTTATCTGAAAGGCATTTATGATATTTTACTGTTATTGTTTGACATCTGTTTTCTGATGAGTGACAGATGCTTATGATAAGCAATCTGTTTCATCCACTTCTGTAAAATCATTTATATTCAGTTTCTCTTTCCTTCTTTTTCTCACAGTGATTAGTATGAGAGTGCATAGCTATAAATGCATCTTACTTGTGCAGATTGCTAAAGAACATGGTGGCATCATGAGATTTATTCAAGTTTCTTGTTTGGGGGCATCTTTATCATCTTCATCTAGATATCTGAAGTCTAAGGCAGCTGCTGAAGAAGCTGTTCTACGAGAGCTGCCCGAGGTAAGTTATACATTTTAGTTTTTATTTTTTTATGTTTGTATCATATACTTTCCTTGTCATTGAACAACTATTGCTGTTACTTGTAAATCTTTATCATGAATTCTATGCTTGTGCCTGATTGCTTAGGTTTCTATTTCATGGTTTTTTTTTAACCTAGATTTGATAAATACTGAGCTGTGGGGACAATTGAATTTAACACAATCTCCTGCGAACTTTCTCGTTTTAGGTATTTTTTTTTCACGACTTCAAAATTTGGAGTGCGTGTTGTAGACATATGGTTATAATCTTCTCAAATCTCTTCCACTGTCCCTTTTTTTTGGAAGATAATATTCTTTCATTTATCATTTTATATAGGGAGAAAATAACAAAAGGTATCATATCTGCTTTTCCTTGGCCACAAGTTTGCATTTTCATTTTGCAAAGAAACCTTATCTGATTGCAGTAGTCATTGTTGTATATCTTAGGTTCAATTATTTGATAGCGCATCCTTTACACTGGATCAAGATTTCATTCATTTAGCAAAGACATTAAGATTTGATTCCTCCTTACTTTTCTTTCTTCTAATGGTCTACCTCTTGAAGTTCAACCTGAAAAATATATCCTTAGGAAGCACAAGATCGAGGAAAAGGAAAATAGAATTTTGATTGGTTGTCTCTCCCTTTTCTTTTCCTTGAAGCGTGATTAAAAAATGATCTTTGAAATGAAATGACAGTTACAACTTTTTGCATTTCTTCTAAAGGAAAACATCTTGAATCTTATTTATCAAAACAAGGCAGTCTTGCTGTTCCCAAGTGAACAAAGAAACATCTGGTCTCTGTTGGACTTTTCAAGTTTTGCACTACATATTTCTTTTAACTTATTTCCATTTCTTTCCTCAAATTTCCATAATCTAACTTATTTTATGAACTTTATGGTGATTCAGTTCTGTTTTATTGTACAGTCTTCGTTTATAGTTTATTATTCATGTCAATGTGGTCGACCAAACCTTATCAAGTGTTACTGTTCGTAGTTTAACTTTTTGGTAATGTATATGGTTATAGATTCGACTTAGTTTATATTTTTCTTGATAGTCCATCCTGCACGTGTAAAGCTCTCATGATTGGACTGATAAGTCTATCTATATCTTCTATCAATTTCTAGGCCACAGTTATGAAACCTGCCGTGATGATTGGCACAGAGGATCGAATTTTAAATACATGGGCACATTTTGCCAAAAATTACAGCTTTCTCCCACTTATAGGAGATGGATCTACCAAGTAGGACTCCATGCCATATAGTTTTATGTGGTACACATTTTTTGGATCTCTGTTTCTGATGATTATCTCCTGCAGGATTCAGCCTGTATATGTTGTTGATGTTGCTTCTGCAATTATCACTGCCTTAAAGGATGATGGTACCAGCATGGGAAAAGTTTATGAACTTGGTGGACCGGATATTTTCACTGTCCATGAGTTGGTGAATAGAAACTCTCTCTCTCCTCTTTCTAATCCTCGCCAACCATGCTATTCTGTTTGTTTTCCTTTAAAATTGCAGTCAGTAGTTGATTTTGAATTGTGGTGTAGGCAGACCTTATGTATGATGTGATCCGTGAATGGCCTCGGTATGTGAAGATTCCTATTCCCATTGCTAAGGTAAGTTCATTTACAGTTGCATCCCTATTCAGTATATCTTTGTATGGTTTTAGCTAAGCTCTCTATCTGAAGCTGCCTATAAGAATTATTTTCATTTTTAACTCGTGCTATTAGCATCTTGTTTGCCTTTTTTGGTTATGTGGCCCGAATGTTTTGTGATCTACCAGCCTTAGATTGACGATGGACAACATATCAAGTTTCTTAATTGACGCCTGTTAGTCTATATAAGAAGACATGGACTGTAACAAGAGTTTAATTTGGCCAAATATTTCCATATGTAAACCTTTGTAAAGGAAATCACTGATTTTGTAAAAGTTTAGACATGAATTGGTTCAGGATCAAAATGATGGGTTTCTCAAATAAAATTTCATCCTTGAGTTCTTAATAACTGCAGCAGTGTATTTTAGTTTTAGGTTTAACTTAATGAATCATGAGATTATATTTATGCCACATGCTTCTCCCTTCTCTGGGTAAGAGCTAGTGGCTTTAGGTGCAGTCTAAGAAAATCAGGTTTGAAATTAAATATCTTATAATTATTCAAACAAAAATCTCTACGAAATTGAATTAGAGTACGCTCATGCCCAAGCCCTAGCCATTTGGAGAGGTATATTTGCCTTAACTATTTGTTTGTTTCTTCTTTTCCGCACATCAGAAATAAAGAAACTGTTTAGACCTTCTGGATACGCTTTGCTAAGCACCTCTCAGTTCATCTGAAGAATTCACATGTTACTTTTGAGAGAAAATCAATCTGCCTGCTTTCATACATTCATTCAATGAGAAAATGGGAAAAAAACTATAGCTGTTAAGTAAAGGCTATGGAGCCTAAACATATATGTAAAATATTAAATGAGAACTTTTGAGTTTTTTCTCAATATTTGATACGAGCCTGTTTCTCGAAATGTCTGTTGCATTTTATTATGAGAAAATGAAAAAATAAGGGGTGCCTGGTGCATGTGCCAGCAACGGAACATTTTTTCTTTTTCTTCCTTTTTTTTTCTTTTGCTTTTTTCAAATATTCCAACCATTACCTTCCACTTTTCTAATTGGACATCTTCTTATAGCTGGCATGCACTGGTGTTTACTTGAAGTAAAAAGGCATCCTTGAAGCTTTTCCGTGTATGATTGTTGAATCATCTCATGATTACTTGTTGACATGTCTGGTTTTCAGGCTATCGCAATGCCTCGAGAAATATTGCTTAAGAAAGTTCCCTTCCCATTGCCTACCCCTGCCATCTTCAATCTGGATCTGATTGAAGCCTTTTCCACCGATACACTGGTGTCCGGAAATGGTATGTGTCAGATTTAAGAATTATGTTTGCTCCTTGATTGGTTTTGACTTTTCTATAATTCTCCTGTGATCCTCCTATACATTTTTCCTATAGAGCATTTTTGGCAAAACTTTTATTACATTATAAGCTGTGGGTCCTAAACACACTAGTAAGTGGGTAAAAGTTTTGGGATTTTGCGGAATGTGTGGATAAAAGGATATTTTGACCAGCTTATAAGCAATTATAAGCTTTGCCAAACGTTTTGCAGCACTCAGATAAATAATCCAACCGATATTTTTTGCTTATGCAGGTTTAAAATTTGAGGATCTTGGGATTGCGCCACATAAACTGAAGGGATACCCAGTCGAGTTTCTTATACAATATCGTAAAGGTGGTCCACAGTATGGTTCTACAGTTAGTGAAAAAGTAACCCCCCAGTCATGGTCTTGATGTTCATCGGTTCTTTAGTTCTGCAAACTCCAGCTATCCTTTTGAAAACTTTGGAGTTGGTATGTGTTGCCTTCATTTCCTTCAGCTGTGAATTGCTTACCACCTCGAATCTTCTCTGATGAAGAATCACAAATCAACTGACGTTGTAGTCTATTAAAGCTAATAAATGAAGTTGTTTAAACAAGGTTGAGATTGTCCATTTTTCGAGAGAGGAACTTAGAAGAATAAAGATATTGGGGATTCTTCTTCAGCAATTCCAATATTCGCAACTTATTCTAGAAAAATTGCTGAAGATTATTTTTTGGTGGTTTTTAGGCCTTTGTGTAATTCAAATGAAGTTATGTTTTTTCCTTCAATGATTGTTTTCTTGCACGCTCATTTGTGCCCTCTCTTTCTTCGTTGATCCATTAGTTCGTGTTTTTAACTAAGATCTTGTTCGGGAGAGTTTTTTTTTCCTAAATCATTTTTAACTACATGTTTTCTGAAAGAAATTTTTTTTCACGTGTTTAGTGTTCACCTTTTCTCTACTTTTCAACTACCCATTCTTCAAAAAATCGTTTTCCCACAAGAGAATTCTCCCAAACAAATGCTAAATACCTTTAAGAGAATGAAATGATAAAGGGGCTAAACAAATTTCGAGTCAACTACGTGATTCTGTTGTCGTCACCCTATTTGGTTCATTACTTCGTGCTAATGCAACTAGCATCATGATATGTTAGTCTTGGTCTACCATTTTCTTGTTCTAACCAATATTATTTATGCGTTTCACCATCTACCAAAGATGAGGAAAAGACATCAATAAGGTTGATTGAGTGATTATTTAGTCATTCCAAAGGAACACTTGCTTTCCTTTTAGCAGGGGAAAAGTAATTGTGGCTATTTCTATAAAACAAGAGTCATTATCCCAATAGGGAAAAGAAAGAGCAGCCATGAAGAATTTATACCCCTTGAAACCACAAGAGAGAACTCATTTCCCAAAATCCGTCGACCACTCAATGATGGTTCAAATCAGTTGTGGATCCTTTGAAAACGGCAAGTTAGAAAGGACGAATGTTGGGGCAGCTATGATCATTCGGTGTGGGGGCTGCTCTGGTGAATCATCATTGACAAACATTTATATAAACTACGATACGCAGGGTATTAATGATTCGGTCTTGATTGGTAGGGATGTGAAATGGGAGACCCTGGTGTGAGTTTGTCTCTGAAAGACGTTGAAATGGACACCGGCTTTCAACTAGTAAGCAGGACTAAAGGAAGGCAATTTTGTTACGCTCTTTTGTTTGATATTTTCATTTTGTACTTGCCATGTTGACTTTACTTATTTGACTTAGCTTTTCATCCATTTTTCTTTCTCCCTGTTTATCTACTCATGTTAGATTTGTTAGCTCGAAAGGTTATGAAAGGACTTACCCACAGTGTTTGTTTCGTATAACTTTTGATAAGTTAAAAAACTGCCTTTAAACATGTTTGCATAATTTTTTAAAAGAGGTATGTCTGATTAGAAAATTTTTTAGAGGAAGCTGACTCAAGATAATGAAACTCTTACGCAGTAAGTGGAAGTAAAACAGAAGTTCATTCAAAAGAGTCCATAATCAAACAAAATTCAAATAATTTCAATTTCCATGTGAATAGATGTATGCAAAATTTGAAGTTCATTTTAAAATTCAATAACACATTCGTTACTCTCTACTAAATTGGAGAATACAATAAACAAGATTTCATCTTTTGCTCGAAATTGTGATACGTGAGAAAGAATGGAGATCTAGAGACAAAGTCACATGATTGTTAATTGGGGAACGTGATTTCTTCAGAACTGTAAAGATTATGGGTCCCAACGTTGTTTAATCATCAACAAATTTTGTGGTTTCCCATTCTCTCGTTTCACATTCCATTCTCCAGTTAATTATTTCATTTTGCTTAGAAAATTGATGCCCAAATCCCACTCCACACGTAAATATTCACGACTAAGGGGAACTGAATTCTCATCACACAGTTTACATATGACAAAAGATCTCAATGGATTAAATCGTTGCCGTGGCTTCTCATGGGATCTAAAAAATCGTTGGTTGCTTGGAATCAAATTTGCATACCAAAATATGAAGGTGGGCTCGATTTTAGAGACATTAAAAATTGAAATGCCGCACTACTTTCCAAAACATTTTGAAACATTCACGGTAAGAAGGATACTCTATGGATTAAATGGATAAATCAGGTACACTTCCGAGGTTCGGACATTTGGGAGTATAGAGTGAAGAAAGATGACTCTTCACTACTTAAAAGCTGTTGAAAATCAAGGACAGCATTGTTGAACCACAAAATGACTTTCAAGCTGGAATGGACAGATTGGATAAATGGGCAGAAACTGGCGTTTTCAGCACAAAGACAGCCTACGAATTTTTCAGACCAAAGGGCGTGAAAACAGCCTGGACTACCTCTGTTTGGGACGGTTCTATCACTCCTAAACATGCCTTCATTCTTTGGTCGGCTGTACGGGGAAAATTGCAAACAAAAGATAGATTGAGGCATCTTGAAGTGGACCGAAAATGCCCATTCAGTGGACTGACGGAAGAAACTGGCCAGCATCTTTTCTTCTCATGCAGAATTTGTAAGGATGTTTGGGATCATATTCGGGATTGGTTGGCTATTAGGCGGAGCATGTTTACCTTGTTGAGCTCATTAAAATAGATGAAAAAGGAAGCATGCGGTAAGAGTTGGCAAAGTCGAGCAAAGCGTATTGCACTTGCAACTACCGTATACTACATTTGGATGGCAAGGAATAGATGTATTTTTGAAGGTATTGAGCCGCAAGTTGAATCTATTGTAAGATGAATTAAATCACATGTATTCAAAGCTATGTTTACTTTATATCCGTATGTTTTGATTCATTTTGAACATTAATAGTGGGCTTTTAGACTGTTATTGGTACATCTTTTTCTTTTGTTTTCACCTTGGTATGCCTGGTGTACCTGTATTGGTTACTTGCCTTCTAATTTTTCGGGTATGTTTGGTGTACTTGTAAATTAATTTTGATCTATAGAATTTCACATTTATTGATAAAAAAAAAAAACGATCTCGATAGTCAAAATTATTTATCCATCAGTGTCGGTTTAGGTTAGGTACAAAATCTCCTGAATAAATAAATAGAGTACAATAATGGGTCAAACACATACTAATTTAATCTTGTGTTAAGAGTTCAATTAATATAATATTATAAGCATAATCATTCCTATCTCACTCTCGATTCTAAACAAAATCGGACATTTCTAAAATAATTAAGATATACACAAAAGGAAAATTTCACTACATGCAACTGCATATATATGACCTAGGAAGGGACCCACCCATGAAATCGTATCAAGTGGGACGAGGCACTCACTGGTTCGAGCTAGCAGCAAATTTTCGTGCGAGTTGACAAGTGGTGCGCAAGCTTGTGAATTAATCTACTCGCTATAATGAATGAAAGATGTCATTTTCACTAAGAATTTGATGAACTGCGAGTGATCTAATAGTCGATTTAATTCGCATCTTGATTAGATGAGAGCAATTCGAGCCAAGCCCATTTAACATCCCCTGGGTACAACCATTAATACATTGAAAGGTGTATCAATTTTTTACCTAATTGGGACTTGTTATATCGCTTCACGTACACCCCGTTGTATACGAAAGTTGGCAGATGGCATCGTTATCATGGACCGACAGATCACTATCTTGCGCCTTGCTGTTCTTCCATAACATACGCTTCTACTATATTCTGAAAATTTTACAATAATCAAATCACAAAATCATTCACTCAGAATCTCTCTGCATTTTACTTGTAAGTCATTCATGCCTCAATTTTTATGCCCAATTTTAGTGTTTAAAAAATTTAATTTAATTCTTGTTTCTGTTTATGAGTGTGTGAGTTAACACTACGCTTACTGAAGTTCTTTTTGGCAATTATTTTTTGGTTCCTGAAAAACGACAATATATCAAGGCTAAATGGAGGTAAGGGTTTTTGTGGGTTTTTAGAGATTGACGAATCTACGAAGTTCTGGATTTTCATGGTTTTTCAGAGCATAGGAGGTGATTTTTGAGTGGTTCAAAGCTAATGAGACACCGCCTGGCGGCAACACCACCTTTAGGAGAACAAATGGAGAAGGGGCAAGGCAAGAATCAACAATCACGGCTATGTTTATTAGTTTCATTATCACTTTTGTTTTGGAGCTTATTGTTGTATTTCCATTTTGTGGTACTTGGAGGTAGTAGTATCGTTGATAGCTTGAGCACATTATCGTATGAAACTGAATCTTTACATGCTCGGATGAGCAATTCTAACCAGATCCCTGTTAGTCGCCCCATCACCATTGAGCGTCCTAGAGTTGATGGTGGCTATGAAAAAGAAATATCAGTTAATAATGAATCGAAAGATGAAAGTGTAAATAATGTGATGGCCGAAGGTGTGAGAGCGCCACCAGTTATTAGCCATTCGGATAATCATGAGATGCAGAATTATCCTTTTGTGAGGGCGTTGAGAACAATAGAGAATAAGAGTGATCCGTGTGGAGGGAGGTATATTTATGTTCATGATCTTCCTCCAAAGTTCAACGAGGATATGCTTAAGGAGTGTAAGAGCCTCAGCCTTTGGACAAACATGTGTAAGTTCACTACAAATGCTGGGCTTGGTCCGCCATTGGAGAATGTTGAAGGGGTGTTCTCAAACACTGGGTGGTATGCAACAAATCAGTTTGCGGTGGATGTGATCTTTAGTAATCGGATGAAGCAATATGAGTGTTTAACAAATGATTCATCTCTTGCTGCTGCTATTTTTGTGCCTTTCTATGCCGGTTTTGACATTGCCAGGTATCTTTGGGGGCATAACATATCGACAAGGGATGCTGCTTCTCTTGCTTTAGTTGATTGGCTCATGTCGAGGCCAGAATGGAGCATAATGGGAGGAAAGGATCATTTTCTTGTGGCGGGAAGGATAACTTGGGATTTTAGGAGACTGAGTGACCAAGAATCGGACTGGGGGAACAAACTTCTGTTCTTACCGGCTGCCAAAAACATGTCCATGCTTGTGGTGGAGTCGAGCCCTTGGAATGAGAATGACTATGGCATCCCTTATCCAACCTACTTCCATCCTGCACGGGATGCTGAAGTGTTAATTTGGCAGGACCGGATGAGGAATCTGGAACGCAAGTATCTTTTCTGTTTTGCTGGTGCACCTCGTCCCGACAATCCCAAATCAATCAGGGGCCATATCATTGATCAGTGTAAGAAATCTAAGGTGTGCAAATTACTCGAGTGCGATTTTGGAGAGAGTAAGTGTCACTCTCCTAGCAGTATCATGCGGATGTTTCAGAGCTCTCTTTTCTGCCTGCAGCCTCAGGGCGATTCATATACGAGAAGATCAGCATTTGACTCCATGTTGGCTGGTTGTATACCGGTGTTCTTCCATCCTGGATCAGCCTACACGCAGTACACCTGGCATTTACCGAAGAATTATTCTCAATACTCTGTTTTCATTCCAGAGGATCACATTCGTAAGAGGAATATCAGCATAGAGAAAACACTCAGTCAAGTTTCTCCTAAGCAGGTAAAGCAAATGAGGGAGACAGTTATAAATCTCATCCCTCAGCTGATATATGCCGATCCTCGTTCTAAATTGGAAACTCTCAAAGACGCCTTTGACGTAGCTGTTCAGGCAGTTATTGACAAGGTTACTAGGTTGAGGAGGGACATCATCAAGGGGTGTAAAGATGATAATTTTATCGAGGAACTTAGTTGGAAATATGCTTTATTAGATGAAGGTCAAGAGATAGGACCTCATGAATGGGATCCATTTTTCTCAAAACCGAAGCCTGGGAAGGCAGATTCTGATAGTTCATCAGCTGATGCAGCTAAAAATTCTTGGAAGAATGAGCAAAGTCAACAGTCATGACTTGACTTGAAGGTGAAGTCTATCTGTGTATCTCCAGCAAATACATGGGGAAAAAAATGGAGCTTTAAGTGAGTCTTTGCTTGAATTTTGTTTAAAGCCGTATTCGATGAAAATCATATGTATGGCTAGAAGGGAGATCTTTCATATCTTTCAAAATCCACTCTATTAATCCAGATTTGTGAAACTACTTCCCATATAATAGATTTTTCAACATTTTCCTCAAGTATTTGTTCAATCATTCTTTTTTGTGAATGTCCACTGTCTCAACACGTGCATGTGTGTTTATAATATAAAGAAAGACTGGCTACTGAATATTAGGCTAATGGTCCCGTTTTGTTTTGTCCTTTTCCTTTTTGTTGTGGTTAATGAATTTGATTAGGCTTTAAGATGGATTAAATAGGAATAATAGTGATTCTGTATGATAATTAAATAATATTTTATCCAACTGCCTGATAATTAAACAATATTTTATCCAACTACCATGGATTTAAAGTAATTGGATTTCCCGGCGTACAGTCAAACAGTAAATTTGTGTATAATTCTCCTCGTGATTTGAGGCTCTCACATCGATAAATAAAGAAAGAGTTTGCATTTCTCATCTTAACAAAGTTGACATTTTAAGATGAAAATTTAAATTTAATATCAGGATTCATAAAATTCAAACGAGTAATTTAACTTATCGAAAGTGTTATGAGTTCAACAATTACGCTTATGTTTGAACCCTTATTCCATTTACTCCGTCGAATGATGGCACAGGAGCCAATGCTAGACTCGGAGTGGGAGATCATAGATGCCTTATACTACAAATGCAAATTTAATTTTGACGGAATGAAAAAGACGCGTGCTAGAATTGAAACCATATAAACATACATAAGAAAATGGTAGTCTCTCCTAATTAGTGACATGGGCATCAAACAAGTGATATAACATCATCCAACTATGGGCATGAGATCAGTTCCGTATCAGGGTTGAAAAAGAGAAGAGTCAGATCCTTCATATACTGGGATAATATATCAGGTTACCTTACATTTGTATGTAACCTAATTACAGCAACCTAATTACAGCAACATGAATTGCATCACAAAAAAGATAAAATTTGACCCAAAAAAGTAGGACTAAAAAGATGTAATAATTGCTTTATTTTTTGATGAACGATAAGCCATTTGCGTTTGCATATCGTTCCATAAATCTCATAAATCGATCCCATTCTCGTGGAGTTCGCATGATATATTTGGCCTCTATTCCTGCAGGTTTCCCACTTACAAACTTTGCATTAACATCAACTGACTGAAGAACTCCTTCCTCATCAATCATGTAGAATCCAGTAATATCACCTACTTCACTAGACGAGTCAAAAACCGAGGGTTGATCAAACTTGAATATAGCCATACCATTAGTCCCGTCCCTTGATTTTGTAAGCCTCACATCCGGGATTGTCTGTTCATCGGTTCCTTGAATGAACTGAATTGTTGGTTTTATCATCATGATACTCAGTCTAGGCATTCTTCGAGTTTGACTTTGTCTTGGCAACCTTGAATCTGGTAGGCACAAGGATTGGCCGTTGAACGATGAGCGCATACTAGTGTGAACACCTCCAAATGCCAATCCTATAAACAATACGAAATGATCAGTTACTGATTGGGCCCTTTTCAAGTGTTACAAAAGACTATAATCTTTACTTTCGAGAGCAATTGAAGTAGAAAACAAACAAACGATATACGTATTTCTAGCAATTCAAACTTAGTGTGAGGTTATGCCCACTTCTCACAGCAGTTTTTACAGTACATTGGAGAAAGATGACATTAATGACTAATTAAATGTCGATAACCTTAGCATCAACACCATATTTTAAGCATCTGTGATTAAACTACGCTATTCAAGACCAAGACTAATTTTCCAAATACTTTGGCACTCTAATTGATACCCATTAAATGGAAGGATGACACGCAAGCATATAAGAAGGAAGGCGAATCAATGTAGTTCGAATGGGATGCCAACTCTTCACCTTTCAAGCAAGATTTTAAGATGAGTTGCTAATGAGGAAGAAAGAACACCTTGGTAACTGAGGCTTGTCTGAACAAAGGAATTTAAGAATTTATCCCTTGGCCAGAAACACGATTAGAGGCCTCGGATAGCTTCAGATATGGACAAGACTCATTTGAAAAATCAACCTAGAGTACAATAGGATGATAGTTGTAAGTTATGTTTGGAGGTATATACAGAGAAGTTTCGGCGGACACAAGGTTCTCTTTCTAGTCCTTCAGTGTTGCTATCGAATTCTAAGCCCACTACAATAGAAGAGATTACCAGGGAGGTGAAAAAACCAATAACACGGGAAAATAAAAGCAATATAAATCATATCATGTCACAGAATGCCATAAAATCTACACAATCTGTTTGACTTTTAGGACATGCGAAGTGGGAAGGGTTAGATGGCGCTAGACTATATCAAGAAAGGAAGGGGGGGAGGGGGGGGGGGGGGGGTGGAAGAAAAGGGTATTAATAGCAGATAATATAATAAACTAACAGCCAGACATTCTATTTTCTGCACTATTATGCTATATTTACTATTTACTGACCCTTCACTTGCATTCTATCTATATATGACACAAAATTTGATAGTTATATATGTGATTATGAAATTATCATAATTTTTTTTTTTTCAAAAAGATTTGAAAAAATTAAGAAAAATGGTCTCAGAAAAATGTAACAATGGCTAACTTTCAGCAAATTTCAGACAAGCATGCCTTCTTTTCATTCCAACACATGATATTAGACCAAGAAAATTACAAGGAGCCATAGCGTTTACATAACAAAGAAAAGGGATTAAGATTATAAACGATTAAAAGGGGCAACCTGGAAGAGAGTAGGGTTGGTGAGAATGGTGAGAGATTGGAGAAGAAATTGCAAAAGACTGTAGCAATGCCATTGTTGAGGGCCTGAGGCTTATTCTAGAGTGAGAGAAGGAAATGCTTTAGTGAGAGAAAAATATGTACTGCAGAGAGATGATGATGTGATGATAAGTGTATCAGGGTGGTGTGTAATGAGGACAGCCATTCAATTGAAAAACATTAGTAGGTCTGTTTGAGCCGTATTCTTTGAGAAACATACATTCTTAAATAATAATTTAATATTATTTTAAATACATATTTTTTAATAAAATAATATTACACGTGAATTTAAAAAATTTTCTTATTTTTTAATCATATATTCTACATCAATATACTATTTTAATCAAAATAATATGGTCCAAACACGCACTTAGCTTTTCAAAAGATTGGCTTGTGATACATCTTTGAACATATAAAATAGAGAAAAATTCAACCATGTTCTCTGGTAACAAAAATTATCATTTGGCGTTAAATATGGGATCTCAAGTTGAATTTTTAGCCACTTTGTCTTCTGACTTTAAGTTACTTCTGATTTTATTGTTCAAAGATAGTTTCATGATGTGAAGACCCAAATTCACATATTTAAATGGGGTGAGGATTCAAAACTTCACTTTTGATAGTCAATACAGCATTAATTGGAAAGGTTGAGAGAAGTCCTAATTTTTCCTAAAATCAAACATGAAACTTATTGGGCTGGGCATGTGGAATATTGGTACAACTAGGCCCAATTATTATTGGGCTGTAGTTGTTTTGGGCTCGCCAAAGATTTTGGGCCATATGTTAATTACTCTTCATGGGCTCTGGCAAATTCTTGTCCCAATTGTAGAAGTGGGCTCTGATTGTTTTAGATTTGTGTGTAATATTATTTTATTGAAGAATGTGCGGTTGAAATGATATCAAATCACTGTTGAAGAATGTATTTTTTTAAAAATAATGCGGCTTAAACAGGGACTTAATAAAAAGTTTTGAACTTTTGAAAATGAAATAAATTTATTAGACATATCTGAATACAGTTTCAATTCATTTCTTCCACAATTATTTAATACATGCANTTTAAGGTACAAGAAATTCAAAACAAGAAAGCTGAGAATCGGTATTATTAATTGAGGAAGTCTGTTATCAATTAATGCAAGTTCAGACTTGTTAACATGGGGACCCCTCCATTCAAATTTATTGGGCCGAGAATTGTTCTTGATTCCAAGCATAGTGTGGGCTTGTATTTCAAGTTGATTAGGCACTCTAATGTCATAAAATATACAACTTCTATTAATTGCCTTGAAAAATAAATGTTATAAAGTCGCGATCAAGATTGTCTTCACACCACAATTAGCAATATCTTTACCCCAAAACATAGTAAATCCATCCAATTGTAGCTATAAAGCAGCGTACCGTCACTCCAAAATAATCCAGTATCCAATCGACTAAAAGACTATTCTTAATAACTATAAATTAAACAATTACATACTTTTGAATAAAAAGAACATTAACTAAATGAAAGTAGAAAGTTAATTATTCTCCGCCTTTACCTTAAAAAAGAAAGGTAAAATGTAAATTCCACCAAGAGTTCCAACTTTTGGTGAGTGTGACATTTATATGTCAAAACTTTTGAAACGACGACACTCGTAAACATTGATCGATCACATAAAATCACCCTTTGAATTGTTTTGGACAATTTACTCTTTCTTTTAGTAAATATTTTTTCATTACCAGAGGATATGAGTATCACGATTTTAACATGAGTACCCACCACGCTTAAGAGAGGTCGAGAAAAAGAAAAATATTTAAAAGGGTCCCTTGAAATAGTCTCACCCCGGAAAAGGAAAAAATTGTCATGGCAAAGCACTTGAAAAGTGCAAGTTTTATTTTTGTGCATTCACAGGATTCTCGTCCATTGTCCCTCCACCGCAGTTGACCGCCGGCCCTCGACAGCAACCCTTTTTAACCCACCCCACCCCACCCCACCCACCAGCTAAACCACTTTTTCCAAGGCAAACGCGCATTTGGACTCGATCGTGCGCTGTTAAATTACTATAAATAATCAAACGTGGAATATAGTTTACTCCTCACCAACCCTTTTTAACATTTCATTCTCTCTCTCTCATTTAGGGTTGAAAGAACTGCACGCTGTTCCTGTTGTTTGGTTTTTGCGATAATTATAATTTTGAAGAAAATGGGAGGTTTTGGGTTGAATGGATCTGATGAAGAAGGCATAGCTACAAGGCTATGGAATAAGTTCAAGAATGAAAGGGTTTCTGTTCTTTACAGTCCTTTTATAATTTGCTTAGCCTCTGGTACATTGGATTCTCACACTTTTCTTCATTGCATCTCTCAAGATGTCTACTTTCTTCAAGCTTTTGCTCAGGCGTAAGCCCTCTCTCTCCCTAGATATACATACAATATATGCATATTCTTGCCTGATTTTTTTTCTTGGTCAAGTCAGTAATTTTTTAGAATGAAATTTCATTACGAAAGTATAATTAGAAGAAATGATGGAATATTTAAATAGTGAAGGTTAAACTAATTAGTGGATAACAATTTTAAAAAAGTTATCTTGACTTTCAATATCAATAGGAATTCTTTCTGGAATGGAGATCAATGAAAATATTAATTCTTTTAGGAATGGAGAGTGTATTTCTCTTATGATCAAAGTTATAATCAGATATTCAATAGGCTGAGGCATAATGTTTTGCCAGGTATGAACTAGCAGAGGAATATGCAGATGACGATGAAGACAAGGAAGCCATTACAAAGTTAAGAAAACGCGTCTTGAAGAGGCTTAGAAACCTAGATACTCTTATCCATGTAATCATTTTACTATCATTTTATCTATTTTTGGTTATTTTTCAGAAATATATTGTTGCTCTACCCATGGGATAAGTGAAAATACCAAAAAAATTTGTTACTGTTCTATCATCTTATTTTCTTGTGTGGGACTTAACTTCAATGCTTATGTTTTTCTATTTGGAGAAAGAAACTTTGGGTATGTTTCATCGTATTTCTTCCCCCAAGTAGTAGTTTCTTGGATCTGTCTTATAATCTTGGTGGCAAAAATAAGAAATGGAATCGAGAATATAATCTGATAGCCATAATTTGCGGCTGATCCTTAAGTGATTAATGAAATCATTTGCACTTGTTACAATTGGGTAGGAGAAAAGGGAAAGGGAATGGATAAAAGTTTTTGTGGTGGCTTTTACATTTTATTTCTCATAATAGGATAGTGCACATTCAGAAATGAGAGATAACTGAATATTTGATGCTGCAGGAATGGGGCTTTGAGTCCCCAAAAGAGAGCATGTGCCAAACTGCAACTGTCAAATACACAGAATTCTTGCTGGAAACAGCAGCAGGGAAAGTGGGAGGAGAGAAATTCCCCGGTAAAATCGTTACTCCGTTTGAGAAAACAAAAATCGCTGCATATACACTGAGTGCCATTGCACCCTGCATGAGGCTCTACAACTTTGTTAGTAAGGAGATCCTGGCTCTTTTAGACCCCGAGGAAAGTAAACACATTTACAAGAAGTGGCTTAATAGTCTCTCCTCGGAAAAATTTGAGGTTCGTCCAATGTTAAGAGTGATGATCATTTTTATATGTTAATAGTATTGGGGAGTTTTTGGGATGAACCCGAGCACTTCTCGTCTTGAAGGGAAAATTATTTTTCGGAAACTTGTTTGACTAGTTATTTTGCCTGCTCTAAATTTAGGCTTCAGCTGGAAGGATTGAAGTCATGCTAGATAAATTAAGCGTTTCTTTGACTGGTGAAGAGCTAGAAGTTGTAGAAAGGCTCTATCATCAAGCTATGAAACTCGAGGTAGAATTCATATTGACTCAACCGGTTGTAAACCGTACCATAGCCCCCGTTTCTCAACTCTACAACAGCGCTGAAGAGAATCTCATTATATTTTGTGACTTTGACTTGACGTGCACCGCCATCGATTCCTCTGCACTTCTAGCAGAGATTGCAATTGTAGCAGCAAGTAAGGCTGATCTTAGTGGCGGTGAAACACAATCTTCTCAGATGTCATCTGCTGATATCCGAATGATGTGGAGTAATCATTTCAGCCAGTACATAGAAGAGTATGAACAATGCACAGAAAGCATCATGCCCAACGAAGCAGGTATCAATAAATTTCTCCAAGATTTGATAATTGTAAAGCAAGATCAGCATATATTAGGGCCATTTGGCAAGGCTTCAGTTGCTTCTTCTAAAAGCGCTTCTAATTTCGTAAAATATTTTCCGAGAATTATCCAAATAGGTCCAAAAGTAGCTTCTTAGTTTTAGAAGTAGCTTTTGGCTTTTGAAAAGCCTGCTAAACGGGCCTTAGTTGATGGAAATTGACTTTTCTTGGCAATACAATGGCAGTCAAGGGACTTGATTATGAAGGTCTAAGCAAAGCAGTTGAGCAAATATCCAACTTTGAGAAGAGGGCAAATTCAAGAGTGATTGATTCTAATTTACTGAGAGGATTGAATCTAACAGACATAATAAGGGCTGGGGAGCACCTCACTTTTCAAGATGGTTGTAAACAGTTCTTCAAGGATCTTATGAAAAGTGAAACTTGTGCGACCGATTTTCACGTGTTATCATACTGTTGGTGTGATGATCTCATTAAGTCTGCATTTTCATCAGGTATGCTTGTGGAAACAATTATTTTTCGCAATTTTTTTTTCTCGGTTAAATAGAGTTAACCATTTTTATTTAAGGAATTCATTGACAGATCTGCATCTTTAATCCTTTTGTAAAATTGTGATGACTATGCTTTATATTTTGATATATACATTCTAATTTCCTTCAGCATTAAGCAGGGGACCTGTGTGTGCCAAATGTACATTCGAACTGCTTAGTTTATGAAGAATCTATTTCCACCGGCAATATGATACAGAAGCTGGAGTCTCCCATGGACAAGCTTGGAGTCTTTAATGACATCACCAAGGGCAGCACAAATGATAGCAAGCCTTTGACGGTTTACATTGGAGGTTCAGTTGGCGATTTGCTTTCCTTGCTCAAAGCAGATTTTGGCATTGTGTTTGGCTTAAGTGACAGTCTTACGAAATTGGGGAGTCGATTTGGTATTTCTTTTGTTCCCTTGTTTTCCGGCTTAGTTAATAAACAAAGAGAACTTGACGTAAGTGGTTGTTTAAACCTGATAGGGTCCTCTGGGGTTCTTTACACTGTCTCCAGCTGGGACGAGATTAACACTTTCATCTTGGGGGCCAAACAAGTCCCTCCATATTAAAGAAAATACACAAGTATACAAAAAGTGACTTATTTAGAGTAGACAAAACATAAAGTTAGGTTATATCCATGTTACAGTTATGTTTGGTAGGGAGACTTGGATAACGCCAAACATTGTTGAGGAATTATAAAAGTTAACTCGTTCACTATATTGTTTAGTCGCATCCAGTATTGCGTACTAAACATGTACTAGGTGGCTAATTTTTCACGATGGCCTCTGGTTAGCCCTTATTTTGTTGTTGAGGGCTAACCGCATGTGATGGACAATTATATGAGCAGGATTAGGTAAGATTGTTGAAGTGTAACCATTTTCTTAAATTCTCTACGATGGATTGGATAACACGGGATACTACTAAAGAAGATAAACAAGTTTAGTTCTTTTTTATTATACTGTGTAATCTTGTCTAATACTGTATACTAGACATACACTTATGGATTTAATGGCATGGTATTTTAGACATGCTTGTGGAACAAGATGTATCTAACATTGTTGTCTCTATTATTTTTAAATTTTGGGTGAAAAGTCTTACCTAATGTAACCTTCTTGGGGAAATTTCTCTTCGCTGATTGTATGGAAGTTTGTCATTCATTGAAGGCTATGAAAATACGAAATGCACGTGCTTAAATTTCTGACTCGTTGCTTTATCAATCAAGATAGTGCTTTGCTTTCTTTTATACATATAGCATATTTGGTCGTGCTTAAAAGTGACTTTTTTTTAACTACTTTTCTAGGCAACATGCAGGAATTCGTTACAAAATTTGCAACATAGAAGGGGGCATGGAGAGATAGAAATCGGCTTAAATATAGAAATAAGTAAGAACTTGTAACTTTTCCAAGAAAATGAAGGGTTGGTAATTACCTAAAAATTAATTACGTAGTTTTAGGCATGACTTGTAAGAAGCATAAGAAGTCAATAATCAAGAATGTTAACTTTGGTTATCATAATTGAGCAAAGAAGGTACGAATTTGATCCGACTAATTCTGAACGTTAATAAGATCAAAAAACCCAATTTTATTATGACTTTGCAATAATTTAATTAGCATTTGAATTAGCCGTTCATAACAGTTAGTAACAGAAGTGACATATTCATCGCAGTCATCAAATGACAAAAACGAATATACCACAGCTATCACTATGTAAAGTTAAGAGCTAAGATTGTCTCCACGAATCTCGGATTTCTTGTAAATAAGTGATGTTGATGTTTGAAATCAATAGGGATCTTTGGCTCTTTGCTTGATTGAGTAAACTCAAATAACATGTGATGCTTGCAATTAAAAGATGAGGCGTGTTTGGATTAGCTTATATTTGGGTTGGCCTGTAAGTTTACTCATAATTAGAGCTGATTTAAACATTAGACGAGTTAAGCGGCCATCTAAGGTCTCCAATTTATCAAAGACGGAAGTTATGTTCACTGATCCTATGTGATTGAAGTGATGTTTCCATGATTTAAATTATCTTGAAACACAATTGTGTGCATGATAAAGAGTATGTTGTGTTGTAAGTTGAGTGTAGGGTGACAATTAACATGTTGGGCGACTAACTATTTGTGTTAAAAATAGTTATCATCAATCCTCATCTGAATTTCTTTTTCGACGCAACTAGTGGGATTAGTTCATTGAGTAAAATAGAATTGTGTTGATTGTTCTTATTGCATACTCAATGTACTTAATTTAGAGATTTCTCGAGTCGAACTATGCCATTAGTTAGACTAATACACC